GTTTGTCCCGCGTGTTGTGGGTCTGCTCCGGGGCTCCAGGTTTTCCATAGTTTGATTTTTTTTTTTATACATTTATATTCACAGATCTCTCTTTGAAGCTCCTGGTGGTTCTTCCAGCATATGCAGTGCTTTCAGCATGTCACATCTCAGGTTACGTTACCAGATTAGCCAGTTTTTGGTTAATGTTAGCAGATCGAGCAGCAGGCCATTGTCCACACACCTGAATGTCTTAACGCATCATTCCAGTTGACAGTTATGTGTCCTCAGTTAGTCATGGATGGAGTAACGTCTCATTGAGATAAGTGTAATCTTCCTAATCAGCTAGTTTTCTACTAGCAACGAGCGAGTGCTGCAACCTTTAAACACCTCCTGCACTAGACAACGACATGCAGAGTTAAACCTGGCAGAGAGGCCCTTACAGACAGGTTTGCATCTATAACATTTAGCAGACCTGAGCTGCAACTGATTCAGTTTTAGAGTCGCTGTGAGATCAGACATTAGGGGTCAAAGTATCCAATCTTCACAAACGTGCGTCAGATGGTAATAGGAAATATTCTTAGAAAGAAAGCAGATCCAGCTGCTCGGTTCACGCGTGGTCTGCAGTTGTGTTCTGAAGCTTTAAGTCATGTGCCTCAGATTTGTGTTTCTTATACTGTAAAAGGAAAATAAATCACGTGCACAGTCTAAGACGTGACGCTGTTTGGAGATGGTTGCAGCAGATTCTCCTTCCGGGTGTAAACGTCACTTTCGGAGAGGAACAAAAAAAATAAAAAATCTTGACTCCACATGACTTCATTCTCACCTGGATGAAAGCAGAGTGCTGATTTTATTCTGCCAACAGCTTCAAAATGTGTTTATCAGGCGACAAAAGGTGTCAGTGCAGCAGGATCCACAAAATCTGAAGCTTCTCCTTCACTCCCGCTGCTGATCCAGTAATCAATGCATTTACTATGAGAGCGTGTGTATATGTGTGTCTGTGTGTTTGTGTGTGTGTGTTTATGTGCGTGTGCTGTCATTTTTCCATCAGCAGTTTTGTGCCTGTCAGGCTTCAGCGCAGCATGGGAAACATGAGCTTTCTGGACTTGACAGGGGTCAAAGGTCAGCACTCACAGCTCAGAGACAGGGCTTTCTGACTGTCACTGAACACCCTGGTGACCAGCTGTCAGTCACTGTGTGTCAGAGGTCAAAGGTCACATTGGAGAGGGGCTGAGTGTGATGGCCACACAGAGAGGAAAGGTCCAGATTCACCTGCCTGGACCAGTTCACCTGTGTCTAAACTCATCTCTGGTGATATTCTGGGTTTTCCCTCTCTTTCTGTAGAAATCTCATGCCGCCGCGAGCCGTCATACTCTTGGCTTAAGAACAGTCCCAGAGCCTGACGGCCGAATTTTGGCGTGAAGTCCGTCCCCGCTCTGATCGTTTTCGGGACCCTCAAACACTCAGTAACCTGGTTAATCTCCTCCTTATGTGCATGATTAAAATACCCTCTGATCACAATCTGCTGCCCCCCTCCCGTTTGTCATTTCCTAAGCCAACAGGGCCGACTGGGACCCAGTTGGACGAGCGGCAAGCTTCCCTCCAATCCACCGTTTGGCAAACGGATTTAAAAAAAAAAAGGAATTTAAACTGTAGAAATATTTTATTATGATTTCACAGCAGTCTGTCCTTCGCTGTGTGCTGCCTTCAGCAGATTTTCTGAAGCTGAATCACATTTAGTCAAATACTTGAGGGTTGTACTCGAGCGTGTAGCTGTTAAAAACCAAAAATAGCAACATCTGTAAAGCTTCTTTTAAAACTAGGCTAGATTCTTTTCATTATTGATAAATGTTGCGATGATTTCCCCCAATAAACATCAATATAGTTTGGTCTATATAAACACCTTTATGCTTTTATTTTTTTTGTACTGATTATTTGTTCCCTACAGTTTTTATTGTATTATTTTTTTATACATATATCATTAGATATTTAGATCTGCTTTTACTTAATTGTGCTACTTGTTAACAACCAAACACAAACAAATCGAACTAACAGTAACAGTAATAATCGTGCTCAGCGTGGATCTTTTCATACCTTCCGTCCTTGTGATCAGTTATCATGTCATGACCGTCGCTCAGAGTTTTACGCAAAAACAACAAAAGCTGTCGTTCACGTTCACGTCAACATATTCAAGAAAGAAACGACACATTGTGCTAAATGTTTGACCCGAGCAGATCATGAAGTCCAATGGGACGTGTTCCAGCGTTTCTAAGTTGTACATTATATTTTATTTTTCCTGGCATGAAAAATCAGAACATTACAGCTTTCTCAGATGTTTATTTTTGGGTTAAAGATTTTGGTTGAAGATGCACTCGCTGAGATCAATTCCAGTTCACAAGATTTCCTGCAGTTTGGAGTCGGACCACAGGCGGTGTGCAAGTCTGCCAGGATTTATTTAGCCTTATTTTTTAAAAATACTCTTTTTCCAGGTTTTTTTTTTTTAAACATGTGTTTAATTTTTACTTGTTGTTATTATTACACTTATTTCTATTTTTATTTTGTTATTATTTTCTGTTTATTTTTTTTACTGTATTTTGTGTAACGTATCTTATTTATTAATATAGTCATATTTTATGCTTTTTAACTAATGCCAAATATTATTACCTATTTTTTGCACACTTTATTCATCATTGCTGAAAGTATAATTTTTCAGTAATTTATTATTTATTTTATTTTATAGTTTCATTTTGTCAGTGTTTTCGTATATCATTTTTGATCATGATCATGTTTTTATTTTCTTTTTTGCTTCTTCTCTTTATTTGTCATTGTGATTTAATCATTTTTATTAATCAATAAATAAGGCAGAGTAAAATGACGGCGTATATCATATGATGAATTCTAAACATCTGTCAGCAGCGTAGCTCCGATCAGCAAAAGACAAAAAACGATTATTGCATAAATATAAAATAAATGGAGATGAGGGTAAAAGCAAAAGTTGGCTATTTTTTATTATTTAATAAAAAAATCTCTCAGATGTTGTCAGCAGCTGGATATAATCATGAAGATGTTGCAGGATCTTTAGTGCCCGTGTTATTGTGAAGCCTTGTTTAAGATGAACTCAGGTACCAGAGGATGCTGCCATCATGCAGCAGGCTTACCTCAGCAGATCACATCCACTGACTCAGAGTGGAGGCTGTTTTCAGCGTTGTTTAGTCCTTGCTTTAGCACAAGTGTCTCCATTTATTATCCTGACCAGACCCTTTTGATGCAGGAAGCGTGAGGTCAGGACTTCAGGTCTCTGTGGAGGTTGTGTAGACTCTGGGTGGCCGACCAAGAACACCTGCAGGGATTATACACTGGTCAGGTATTCAAAACACTGAAGGTGAATAACACGGATTACCCTGTTACAGTTGGGCTTTTTCACGGTGTGACATATACGAGGCAGCGATGGAGTGATCAGTTCTTTGTGTGATGCAAACAGGAAAAGTATAAGAGCTTGAAACCAAAAGTTCCAAAAAATTATGATTATGTAACACAATTATTCACTAACCTGACAAACATCCTGCAAGTTTACAGTATATATACAATATGATCTATTTACAAGTTCTGTCTTTGTGCTGTAAATGTAGTTTAAATGGGAAAAAAAATACAGTCTTAGCTGTAATGCCTGAGATGTGACTCAGAAGTCACAAACTGATATCGAGGTGGGTTACAGTAGAGGTTGTCAGGGCCAGATGTTCCTTGAATATCACCTAATGTGTGTTTGAATGTGTGTACTGGCAGCTGTTTTTGAGTTGATACCGGATGAGGCCCAAAAGTCACGAGCTGAGCTTTACATGGGTTACAGCAAAGGCTGGATGAGCCAGATGTGATCCAGATGTCAATTATGTAAAAGGTTGGATGAGCCAGATGTTCCTCAAATGCCACTAAACATATAAATTGTACTTGGAGCTGTCTATGAGTTGACGCCAGAGGTGGCTCAAAAGTCACAAGCCAGTATGGTTGTGACGTACAGCGAGAGTTGTTCGGGCCAGATGTTGCCCAGATGTCACAAGCTAGGCTTTGGACTGCAACTCCAACGGTTGTCAAGAACTAGATGAGGCAAAAAGTAAGGAGCTGGGATTTATGTCGGTTACGGCAAAGGTTAGCAGGGCCAGATGTGGCCTAAAAGGTCAGTAATCATGTAAGGTGGACCTGTGGCTGTCCCTGAGTTGATGTTGTCAGCCAGATGTGCGCCAAAGGTGACTGCAAATGTTGTTCACTTGTTTCTGAGGTAAATGGAACCTGAGAGCTCTTTGTTGATGTTCATCCGGGTTTCACGTCTTTTGTCTGTGGTTTGTGTCTTCATTTGTTTCTTGAATCGAGTGTAAAACTACACCAGTGCTCTCCCAAACCCCAAACAGGACCTTGATATTGATACCAGGAGGATAATCCTGGTTTTCAGTTCCTGAGATCTGGTTTTATCCCAGTTTTCCATCAGTTACCTGCACGTTTCCACCCCTCTCCTCTCTCCTCCTCTTGGTACACTTACAGAAGACTCTGAGGAATTCACTAACCGGCTCCCCTCCCCCCACACTGGAATGAAGTGTATGAATGAGGAGGAAGAGGAGGAGAGGAAGGGAAATGTGAAGACAGGAAGAGAAAGAAGAGGAAGGATTGAAGGAAGGAAGGAAATAGAGGGACAAGATAACGAAAGAAGGAAGGTTCTAATGAAGGAAAGGAAGTGCAGGATGAAGGGCTGAGATGGAGGAGTGGTGTGTTAGAGGGCGAGAGCAGCAAGCGAGCAAAGTGTGTGTGTGTGTGTGTGTTTGTGAGCTGCGAGCTCTGTGATTGGCTGAACCCGGCTAGATGCACCAACAGCCGAAAGAAGACGGGAACAGAGGAGAGGGAGGCTGCAGATAGAGGAGAGAATACAAAGAGCGAGTGAGTGGGGGAGTGTGTGAGGGAGTGTGTGTGTGTGTGTGTTACATGTGCGCTAATGCGTGTGTGTGTGTGATATCCAGAGGTGTGTGCGTGTGTGTGTGTGCGCAGCAGAAAGAGGAGGCGAGGAGGAGGAAACCTGATCTCACTCTCTCTATCTCTCTGTGTGGAATAAACGCTTAGCCCTCACCGTTATTGGCCTTGCTGTTAGCTTGCAGCGTAGCCCGGCCCAGTTTGGACCCAGTGTGATTGTGGTGGAGGTGGTGGGGATGGAGCGGTTCCTGGCCCTGCTACGTCTGCTGAGCAGGAGGAGGCGAGGGAGGAGGTACCGGGCGGATGATGATTACCAGGAAGGCTACGAAGACGTTTACTACTACACCAGCAAGTACAACACACACCTACTGAGTGAGTGAGTCCCATAAAGAAACAATGGAGAAAGAGAGAGAGGCTTTGTTTTATTGTCCTACTGTAGAGCGAGTGAGGTAGAGAGATGATGCAGAGAGAGAGAGAGAGGCTTATCAACAGATTATGGCACTCAAAGTGGCCTAGATTGTGTTGGTGTGCGCCGTTTTAAATGTATTGTGGGGACTCGAGTGTGTTTACTTTAGTGCTCTGTGGGGACCTCCTCAAGGGGACAAAATTTCTGTAATTTCAGGGACGAGGATATTACAGGTAGCTCGACTCCTCAAAAGTAAAAGAAATCCAATGAGTGTGTGTGATGTCTTTTAATTTTTGTGTTTCGGGGGGACATTTATGCACTAATTTTTCTGTAATGTGGGGTCCCAACTTCCTTCAGGGGACAAACGTATATCCTCTGAAGCGATGGAAATACGACTCCATGGGTGTGTACTATTTTAATTTGTTTCCTGGGACACTGGCTTGTGGGTACTTTCTTGCACCCCACCTCCCCCGTAAGGTGAGGGAGCAGATGTCAGGGTGAAGACTTTCAGGGTTGGCTCGAGACCTTTAAAGTGGTGGAAATATTTAGTGTGAGGTCTTGTATTTATGGGTTACGTGGAAGCACGTGTGGACAAAAAGCGAGTCCTATATATAGTAATGATATAATGGGGGGGAAAGGCTGTACGTGTGTCTTATTGCAATTGGTTTGACGTATTTGTGTTTGCTCTTCTTAAACTTTAGGGACCTGACTTCCTTATGGGAACAAAAAATTAGTCTAAATAAAGAGTGAGCCCTATGAAGGGAAAACCACCGTAATCGAGGAAATTTTAGGTTGAAGGCTTGGAACTTAGAGCTAGTCCAATTTGGGGGAACTAAAATGAGTTCCCAAGAGGAGATGAAGACTTTGAAGTTTGAATTAAATGTCCTGTGGGGACACGCATGTCTTTATATTCTCGTACTGTGCTAACTCGATGTCCTCATGGAGTCAAAGCTCGAGTCCCTGTAAGATGAAGGAATAAATTTCTGGGTTAGCAGGGTGTGTGTGAGTGTGTGTGTTTGTGATGGCAGCTTTATCTGTGTGTATGTTTTTGCTTTTTTTACTGTGAAGACTCACCTTGGTTCAGTGTAGAAGTTTGAGTCCTCTTAAAGGTGATGGAGTAAAGTTCAGGGTGAAGACTTTGAGGTTAGTCCTGTGAAGGGATGGAAATACTGCTCTTCTCACTGTGTGTGTGTGTGTGTGTGTGTGTGTTTAAGGTCTTGTATTATAGATGAAGGTCGTTAGTGAAGCTGCTCAGTTACAGTACACACACGCTCACTCAGGTATTCAGATGACATGAACCAGGTGGTTTGTGGGTAATAACAGGGCAGGATGTTTACTGCAGGAAGGAATGTGAACAATGTGGGAAAACGCACACTAATTCCAGGTTTGACGTCTTGTGTTGTTCTAGTCTGCACGCTTCAGTCCTTCTTTGGCGTCCTGCGGTAGTTTCTACTCCTTTTTTGTTCCATGTTCTTGACTGAACCTACGAAACTTTTGCTCCAAATATGACCAGTCGGGATTTCCTCCCCCATCAGGAGCAGATTGTGATACACCAAGTCGTGAATAATGTGTTTAGCTCTAGGCGCTCACACTTCCACTTTAATTATCTGATCTTTAATTACATTTAGATAATTTGTCTTTTTGTGACCCATATCTGGGGGTTCCTTTTACACTTATTTTACGCTCGGCCACTTTTATAGAGCACCAGCAGCAACAACAAAGCTAATGCTGGTGGATCTACTGAGATCGACTAGTTAAACACACTCCAGACTCTTCCTCTGTGTTTGTGGATAAATGAAGCCTGTTTCTGATGTTGCCGGTGTTCTTCTAGACGTCTTATTAGCAGCCATATAAGCTGCTTTAGCCTGCCTACAGCTGTTGTGCATCTGCAAGTTGCTTTGCAACCCATCTCCTCCATTTCATGCTGTTTATGACTGAATGGATACATATTGTGACAGACAGTTTGATTTTTGATTTGTTAAACTGTAAGTTTGGTGTGTTTACAGTCTGGTGGTGGAGATGCAGGTTTGTTTTTAGCCTCACAGGTGTGGACCTGGATCATATGAATTGGTTTCTTCTCCTTCTTTGTTCTTTGTCTTCACTTTGTCTTACGCTTGAGTGATCTCCATAGTGTTATCGTGGGATCACGCTATCCTCCCTCCCTGATGCACACCGGGGAGTTTATTTCCCACTTCCAGCAAGAAGAGAAAGTAATGTAAGCTGTCCCAGCTGAAGAGCCTCGTTCGCTTATCGATTAATGATTCAGTCTGTAGTAATTAGTGAGCTGAAGTGGATGGACATCAGTTCAGCAGATGAAGTGTTATTAAGTCATAACATCTGCCTGCCTTTTGTCTTCTTCATAGCTCGACTAACTCGTCCAGTCCGCTTTGTAATTGTGTAAAACGTGTCACCAGTCTCTCCTCCACTCATCATCGAGCTCTCCACACAAACAGCCGAGTCTTTCACCGACAAATGAAGTTTAACGAGCATCACTGCACACGAGCAGCGTTCACGTCACCTGCAGACAGAAATAAGACAGCTGAACTCGATGGAAGTGTTGATCACTTAGCGAGGCTGATTCACTTTAATACGAATCTCTTAATGATGATGATGTAACTTTGACGCGCCAGCGAAGGCGTGTCAAACTTATTTTTAGTTCATGGGCTACAAAGAGCCCAATTTGATCTAAAGTGGGTCTGGCCAGCATTCTGTAATAAGCAGTGAATCTGTTCTTCTCTTTTGCTTTTTAAAAAAAACTTTACTGCAATTTTTTCACCCACTTGGCCCCCTGAATTAATGCAAAAATAAGCTAACAACCACCTATATTGGTAAATTATCACTGATCAGTCTGATCATCATCGGTGCTTGAGGTTATCCATCAATATAACTCTGATATATGCAACAGATGGACGTAGCTTCCAGGAGTGAAGATTGACGCCAATACTGAGGTGTCTTAAATGATGTTCTTTCTGATATCCAGCAGGGGGCGCCTCCTCTGGTTTAAAAACATGTCTTCGAGAAAATAACCCGCTTCCTAAATTTGTCTGCAAACACCTTCCTGATGGTTTTATGTTCTCAGACGCTATTTTAAGGTCTTAGAGAACAAAACATGATGTTCATGTTGCAAATTTAGTTTCACGTTACAGAAAGAGCAGGTGATAAAGCAGGAGGAGTTTAAGCTTTAGGGCAGGAGGAGTGTGGTCAGACCCTTGTCGGGTAATGATCTGCTGTGAATTTCAGTTTATTTTGGTCTCGTCTTGACTCTATTCTGGTCTCTGATTGTGATTCTGTTTGTTCTGATGCCCTTTGATGTGTTTTTAAAGCACATTCAGAAGTTTTTCTTCTTTATTTTTAACTCTGATGAGACGATGGGAGCTGAGCTGGGAGTTAACAAAGGAACCAGTCAGGTAGTGATAAATTGAAGCTTACTGTGCTCTAGTTTATTTTTTCACCTTCACAGTCCTCCTGATGGCTTTTTTTTTTTTTCAAAATCAAGATAATGTTTTCTGAAATGCTTTCAAGTGAAATCCACCCTCAGAAACTTCTTTGTGTCCACATGCTTCTAGGAAAGTGTGTTTCTGACACGTTCCTCTTAGAAAACTGTCAGCTAAGCTAAAATGAAAAAACTGCCTATATTTTTGGTTGAACTCTGGTTCACGCCTCGCCCGTCTCCATCTGTCTCCCTGCAGAGAAAACTCAAGCAGGACTTGAACTCGCCGTCTACTAAACTGTTTACACCTATTAAGAAGTGTTTGCTGGCGGCGAGCAGACGACGTGAGCGGCACTTTGGTGTCTCAGAAGTTTCTGAATGAACTCGAGGAACACATTTGGACCGATTCTCTGCACAGATTAAACAAAAAGAAATCCACACACCTTCTGGAGCCTTTGCGGAATCTTATGGGTGTAAATTTAATTATTTAATAATTAAGAGCAACATATTTGAGTGTTTGGATGCTAGTAGCTGACACTGAACTTATTATTCCTGTGTGAAAATAAACCATTTGTGTGTGTAGTGCAGAGCTGCCAGGAGGCATTTCTCAAAGCTACCAGCTAGCTGTGTGTGTGTGTGTGTGTGTGTTCCTGTCTAGCTATCTTTGTGAGGACCGAAATCTGCATTCTACTATACTTGTGAGAACCAACAGTCACTATTGAGGACACACATCCTGGTCCTCACAAATGTGAAGGCATTTAAAGGCGCTTTTGAGGCTCAAAATGTGGTTTTAGTGTCAGGGTTACAATTAGGTTATGGTTAGGTTTAGGGTTAGGGTTAGGCATTCATTTTTAATGGTTAGGATAAGAGGCTAGGGAAAGCATTATATAAATGAAGGTCCTCACTAAGATAGCTGAACGGGGTTTTGTGTGTGTGTGTCTGTGTGTGTTTATCACAGCGTGTGATTGTATATGAAAGCACTTTAAGGTTGGTTGACTGGCTAACACACACACACACTCTTTCTCCTCCTCTCCTCACTCCTTGTTTAGGGTGATTTTCGTCCCGTATTTCCTCTTTGATTCAATCTGGTTTGACCTTGTTAACCTGGTTTATTGGACCAAGCATCTTAAAGAGTTCATGAATAAAACATTCACACAAAGATGACATCAGTTGTTTCTGGTCCTGGTCTGTAATGCTCACTTCAGCGTCTGCGTTTAACCTCAGGAGGTAGAGCAGGTTGTCCGGTGAAGCCTCCATGCAGTCCTTTAAAGTCGGGTCCATTTAACCGTGTCTGAAACGCTCCCTCCTAGAATTCACCTTAACGCACGACAGAAAATCAGCAAAGAGGGAGAAAACATTGTTACCTGCACCGAGGGAGCGCTGTGACCGGATTGGTTTGTCTGTTTGTTATCAAAATTATAAACCATTGAGATAAACGGCTGTGCTTTATTTTTTAAGTTGTTGTGAGGGATGTTTGTTTTTATTTTCTTTATCATTTGTAAATATTATACAGTCTCATGTCAGTTTCTGCTGATT